AAAAAAAAAAAAAAAAGAAATTTACCAAAAAAAAGGGGCACTTTCAGCAAGTGAATATCAGCAACAAGGAACACGTTGCTGAAAAGTGGAGCTTAATTGAATGGGAAAGAATTCACCGGAAAATATCAACAAGATGGAGTATGTTACTTTCAGCAACAAGAAGTATATTGCTGAAAGTGGAGTAGAATTTCAAGGGATGGGATGTACATTTTGTACTGTAGCACTTTCAGTAACATGGGGTTTGTTGCTGATACCTATTTTCAGCAACAAACAATCTCATGTTGCTGATTTATTGTTGGTAAAAGATAAAATTTTAGTAGTGAGCGTAGCTTTAGGTGTCGAATCCACAGAGAAACTATATTAAATCAACAAAAAGAGTTGTCACAATGAGAAATTAAATTAAAAGATGAATTCTAAAATTAAGAATAAAAATATTTAAATAAAAGATGATAATTGTAAAAGATTGAAAACAATATTATGATGAACAAGACTTCGGGGTTCACTTAATTAATTTGTTTAACTGTTATAAATTTTGATTATTATTTATTATTCAATTGCATATTTCACATCCCAAACAAACAATCGGAAGATTCAACTTTAAAAACCAATAATAATGACTAATGTATTTATTTTGAAAAAAATTAATTTCAATGAAGAACAAACTGATCTATCCTTATGAGTTATCCGAGAGCGACAATATATCTAATCGACAATACTGCAGTAAAGGATCAACCCGCAAAACAAATCTACCAATCAATTATATTCTAACAAATCACACATAAAAAGAGCATGACTAATCTTATATGAAATTTGATAAATATAATTTTCAAGGTTTTCAAGTCTGAAAATAATTAGTAATCTTTCAAAAATAAAATTAAACAATAAAATCTATAAAGGAATCAAAATAAAATAACAAGTCAAACTCTTCAATCAAGATTCTCCCTAATCTTGTTGAAAGTTTAGTTACCTTTTGACATAATTCTCTAGCCTTGAAGAGGAAAATAGAAGCCTGATAGCCGCCTCTCCAAGCTTTGGAACCCCCTTCTGAAATAACTTGGATGGGTATTTATAGAATCCTAGAAACCTTAATTAGAATGGCTGTGGAGCCCACATCACAATAATTAGGACAGATATGATTTGGCTGAATTATTGCGCAAGGGATCGACACTCTTTACAAGGTGCCGGCACTTTGAGTGCAGCGTCAACTGCATCCCGTGTCGGGTTTTTGGCCTTTTGTGCAATTTTGGTTAATGGCAGAATAACAATCTTGGTTCCTAACTCCTGGATTCCGTGCAAGTTGATCATCATATTTCTGATCTTTGCAATT